TCAAGAAGGGCCACTTCTAGGGCCAGATTTGAGTTGTTAAATTCCATGGCCAAATATGGGCACCTCCCCCACCTGCATATTATGAAAAGACATGTACTGTGTATGCAGTGCACCAACTATGTTTTGTTTGACTGACAACTAAATGTCCCTCTTAGGCTTAACTGAATAACACAATAACACAGCTGGAAGGGATCTTGGAGGTCTTCTAGTCCAACCCCCTACTCAAGCATGAAACCCTGTGCCATTTCAGACAAATAGTTGTCCAATCTCTTCTTAAAAAATTCCAGTGTTGGAGCATTCACAACTTCTGGAGCCAGGTTGTTCCACTAATTAATTGTTCTAACTGTCAGGAAATTCCTACTTAGTTCTAGGTTGCTTCTCTCCTTGATTAGTTTCTATCTGTTGCTTCTTGTCCTGCCTTCAGGAGCTTTGGAAAATAGCTTGACTCCCTCTTCTTTGGGGCAGCCCCTGAGATACTGGAAGACTGCTATCCTGTCCCCCCTCGTCCTTCTCTTCATTAAACGAGACATACCCAGTTCTTGCAAGTGTTCTTCATATGTTTTAGGCTCCAGTCCCCTAATCATCTTTGTTGCTCTTCTCTGCACTCTTTCTAGAATCTCAACATCTTTTTTACATCTGGGTGACCAAAACTAGATGTAATATTTCAAGTATGGTCTTACCAAGGTATTATAAAGTAATATTAACACTTTGTGTAAAAGACACGTCACTAAGTGATTGCATCACTTAGCAGTGGCCATTCTAGTCCCAGCTGTGGTTGTAAGTTGTAGATTCGCTGTATTGTTGGTATAATAACAGGAGCTTGAAATGTTGAATTAAGGCATTAATAAATCCCTGCTCCTATCTCTATTCTTGTGTAGATGTTTGTATTTGGAAATGTGTAGATTTTTGTATTTGGAGAGCTCACAATATTTTAACCTGCTCATTTTCAATTTTTTTTTCAACTCTTATGTTCCTGCCAATTTTTTATTACATGATAATTTTCATAGATGAATTATTTTGGAGACTGTGATATGACTGTTTATAATCAGTTTGTGTGATCTTCTTGAACAAGTATATGAGCTACTGTTTCTTCTGCTTCTTTGCACAATCTGCACTTTGAATCATTTGATGATTTTCCACTTTAGGCCTTGATTGCATCAGTTTGAACAGCTTGGTCTTAAGTAACCAAAATCAAGCCTTCAGTTTCTTTTTAAAATGTTCCACTTGCAAGCCATTGCCACATTTTATTTTTATCCATGTTCTCCTTGAACATTTGTAGAATTTGATCATGTAATGCTTTTCCTTGCAGGTATTCTGTTGAGATTTTTATTACATTATTTCAATATTCATGTTTATTTTCTGTGTATTCAGGAAGTTCAAATTTTTAACTTGCACCAATGCTTGTCTTTGACTGTTTTTTATATAAACAGCCAATGCATGCTTTTAGTCTTCAACAGTTGTTTGACTTGAAGTAAACCTCTATCTTTATTTCTATGGGGCAGGTTTAATCCATTAATATCACTACAAGGCTGTAATACATAGTGAACAGTCATCAGTTTCCTTGCTTTCCAGTCTAAACTGTCCAGATAATAATTCCAGTAGTGTACCATATCACAGATATAGACCAGATATTGATGGCATTTCCACTGTTCTATTTTGTCTTTAACACTTTTCTCACTTTTGAGGTATATTTTTTACTAATCACATTTTTAATTTGTCCATACTTGATGTTCTCCAACTGCAAAATGTCCATATTCTTGTAGGCTTTAATTCTGATGGCTCCTGGGGATTTGGCCAGTTAGCATTTCAATTCAATTCAGTTATTGTTCATGATTTTACCTTGCTTTATTGCTTCATAGCACATTTTTCTAGGCCAAATTCCATTGCTTATATCTATGCTAAAAATTCTTAAAGTTGGTCAGTGACTGGATTTTGGCTTCTGATTTTCTGTAAAGCTTCGGTTCATCTATATAAAACAAATGCATGGTTTTATTAGCATTGTTTTGCTGTTTGTAGCAATGCTTTATTTTCTTCAAAACAATGACGACTAATAAGGGGGGAATAAAGAGTCGCTCTGGAAGAGGCCTCTCCAAATGTTGACAAGCTCATATTTTTCATTTTTAACCACAATTTTGTATTTCATTACCTTATTTTTTTTTTCTAGGAACATTCTAAGGTTTTACTGAAACCAGTTGTTTTCAAACACTGGATAATCCAACTGTGTCATAATGAACCAAACACCTTGTGGGAAGTCAGCCCCACTAGAGAAAGAAATATTTTGGGGAATATTTAAAAGGCAAAATATATTTCTCCAAAGGAATAATAGAAAATCTTAGGCAGAAACCACCCCCCCCCCAAGTTTCTCTACCCCAAGTACAAACCAGGTCTGTAGAAATGCAGATTTGATAATCCTATTCAGAAAGTATGGAGCCAGGAGGCTAGAAGCTGATGAGATTAGAAAGACAAAGACCTCTAAAATCTACATACCCCACCCAAACTCTAAAAGACATGACTTTTGGGACATAATAGGATTAACCCACCACCACCAGAATACCAAAAGGACATGCTCAGAACCTCAGGTCAAAGTTCATGACACAGGAACAGGAGACAACCTTAAAAAGCCCGAGAAGGTATAAAAACCTACCACTCCCAGCTACATGTGATCAGCTTTCTGAGAGTCTCATTTCTGTCTGGCTCTGCTCTTCAATAAACTACAACCATCTTTCTAAAGCAGTCTCCATTTTGCTTATTCATGGCTTGGACTGGACCCTGATGAAGACTTTTCATTCAACAACCTTTTTATAATCAATTGAGACCATATGGCAGGTTTTTTTTTTGCCTTTTGCAATTCTCCAAAACAATTTTATCAATCAGAAGCTTATCTTTTGTTCCTCTGATTTTCCTTTCCTTCCTGGGAGGATGTTATTTCCTTTTAAATAATCTTGGATGTTGTCTGCTATTATGCCTGTGAGTAACTTAAACATCATAGGTGAGCGTGTTATTGGCCTTCAGTTTCCTGGTGTTGTCCCTTTCACTGAGTCTTTTTGAATCAGATAAGTTTTTCCAGTTATTAAACAGTCACTGATGACTCCTTTATGCAATAATTCATTAAGCTGTTTAGCAATAATTGGATGTAAGGTAGTAGCAATAGCAGTTAGACTTATATACCACTTCATACTAGTTTACACATTCTCTAAGGGGTTAACAGATGTTAGCATATTGCCCCCCAAAATCTGAATGCTCATTTTATTGGCCCCAGAAGGATGAAAGGTTGAGTCATCTTGAGCCAGTCAGAATCAAACTCCTGGCTGTGAGCAATAAGTTAGCTTACAATAATGCTTTCTAACCACTGCATCACCACTGCTCTTACTAATCAAATATTTGAGCCCAATGCCAAACAATTTGGCTTACTTCCAGAAGGCAAAACTGATTATTTCCAGAAAATGTCCAGTTTTAATTCCTTTCACTCAATTTTTAAACTTTTCTGCTGTTATTATTAATTCTCCTGTTCAATTTTTACTAAATTCATCTTCAAAGTTTTACATCCATTCAGCAGTTTTATTAAGAGTCTTTCTGAGTTTCCCATCAATTTTTCCAAAACTGGATTGTTTCTGTCTTGTTTGGTTTTCCATTTTCAGAATTTCTTTTCCTGTTTGGTAGAATGGACTCTGGTCTGATTGAATTAGCTGATTTTGCTTAAATTGGATGATTCATGCATCATAGCGTTCAATTTTCCCTGCTATTGCTGTTATTTCTTGCTTTATGGTTTCCAAAGCTTTTTCCATTTTTCCTGGTGCAAAACCCATTTTTTAATTACGCTTGTCTTGATCCTTGCATTCTTCCATTTTTGCCTTTTCATGTTTTTAAATTACTTGCATCTGATCTTTATTTCTTTATCTTCGCCTCCAGTCTGATTTTTCACTTTATATTAATATTCTCCTTTCTCTCCCCCTCTCCCCAATGACAAGGTGTTGCATCAGTGCTCAGAAAAAGTGGGTGGGTGGAGTAAGAAAAACCAACTAACCAACCAACCAATTAATAATAATAATAAAAAAACAACCAAAAATTTCAGACCTATTTGTGTCTTACAGCATGCCATGTTTCAAATTTCAAATTTATAGCACCAGAATTTTGATGCTTGTTTAAATTTCTAAATGATATGTCAAATGCGAATTTTGTATCCCAATGCACAAAACATGTATATATTTTGGGTTCTTGGTGTTCTGTCAGCTTGATCAGCACTGATGATGTTTCCTAGCCGAGTAATGAAAACAAACAAACTCACAGAACACCAAGATCCAAATAATTCCATCTTTATTTATATCTCCTCCACTGTTGGAAATGTCTGCATTGACACAAATAAGCATTGGGTAAACAGAAAATTTTATACATCAGACGTCCCCACTTCTGAGATACAATTATAATTCATTTCTGCATTTTTAAAAGAAAAATGCAAATTAGTTTTAGACTTTCCATGTGCAATGTACTTGCAAACAGAGATGATCAGATGGTTTTAAACCATTTATAATTCTTGTTTGATAAGTTGATTCTACGGTTTAAAATGCGTTGATCCATTTATTTTTATTGCATCTCATTAGGATATTCTTTTTTTGATGGAAAGATAACAAACGAATGATATTTGCTTGGAAATCTCTATCACTGAGTTCAATGAATTTCCCTCCATCCTGCAGCCAAGTGCATATATGTTTATAACCTTATTTTTGCTTGAATGGCCTATTTTGTAGACAGTGGCATATTATTTTATTAAGAAGTCTATTCCTGAATTTAAGTTGGACTTAGCAGGTCCTTCAGAAAGAAGTATGTAATTACTCTTACAAGCAATGGAAAAAATATATATAGGTAATTTCCCCTTAGTCCTTCTTTATTTAAAATAACCAGAACTTAAAGCATTTTCATAATATCCCAATTGTAACAAAGAACTCCTGTTCTGGGTATAATAATAGAGGGGTAAGGTATCTTGAAATAAGACAACAAACTAATTGTACTTAGCCAACTTCAACATTTTTATTTATCATCATTACATTAAATATTAAAAGTGTTCAAGTATGTAAATTTAGCTTTTATAATTGCAACTGATCCTCAAAAACCAACTATCTAAAATTTTGATTAAACCAACCAGAACAAAGTGCAGCACAATTTTATAGACTTTTGTGCAGAGGTTCATGACACATTTCAACCAAGGCATTGGGTGAAACAGTGCCATGTAGATCAATATAGTGATAGAAAGAGCTGTAGATAAATGCACAGAGATCTGTTCTTCACAAGTAAGGCATCCAGAATTCTGAATTCTCCAAGAATTTTCTAGGAAAGATTTCTGTCTGAAACCCTGAGAATTAGGCAGAACAACAATTGGTGTCAGTCAGTATAAGACAGCTGTCTGTGCAGAAGATCAAAAGTTCACTTCCTGACATCTTGATGAAGAATTGGAGATAGTCAGCCCTGAGATCATAGACAGCTGCTGTCAGTAAGCACCAACCATCTTGAGCTAGATGAACAAATGGGTTGACTCAAGTTTGTAGGCCACACATGGTGTCTTATAAACTTTACAGATAAGTGATGTGATTTGTTTTAAAATTAGTAAACTAAATCAAGTGTTCTTGGTTCAAAAGATGGACAGCCATTTCTACTTCAGGGAAAAAAATATCTCAATTTATATTTTATTTCCAAAAATGTATATTTTCTCTTTTTCTCCAAAACAAATAAACTGTTCCAGAAGTTTCTCTGGGCACCATAGTAATTGAGAAACAGAGTATTTAGGTCAGAGGTAAACAGTTTCTCAATAGTCTATTAGATCATAAGTGGAGAAATGAATCAGAAAACATGTGCTGTATAATTAATAGCAATCAACCCATCAATAGCACGTAATTAACTACTGGAGTGTGCCAATGCAGAGGAGGGGTTTGCCATGGCTTGTAGAGTTTCAGCCAAACTAAGCTGTCGATTAGCAAGAAAATCAGGACTTAAAACAGAGATGATCAGTTGGCATTGAGGTGTGGAACTTACACAAGGATGTAATAGATTGTTGTGATATTTCTTGCCTATTGCCTGCCCAGCGCCAATCTCCTAATCCAGAAAGCATAACAGGAAGAAAATAAGGAATCGAAGTTAATGGTTTGTTATGCCAATAATCTTAAAGTTTAACCCTGTAATCTCCAAATATAGTCGGTGAAGACACCTATGTAATTTTGGGGAATTGCTTCCAGTAAACCAAGAGAAAAGGGAGCTACAGGTTAAGTGATCTCATTGATATCCGACGGATTTTTATTATCCAAAATTTGATTTTCAAGTATTAAGAATATGCATTGTTTTATGCCTAGATTCACTCTTGACATCCCATAGGCCATCAAGCTGAATGTCAGTAATGATGGCAGACCACCAAACCATACAGATCATCTTCTTTGCCATTTCTGGCTCCTGCAAGTGAAAACTCATATTTTTCAAGCTAGAAACTGCACTACTTCATCAGGGCTAGAACACAGTGCTAGTCTTTCCTCCATCAGCTATCACATCTTCAGTTTTATTTTACAATTCCAAGTTCTCTTGACTGGAAAAGCATCTCAATACCAGTTTCACCAAATACGCCTTGATAGTGAGATAATTATAAAAAAATGAATTGGGTTAGAAAGTAAATAAAGAACAATATGTTGTTGACAAGTAACATAGGTCAGGTGTAGGCAACCTTGGCTCTTTTATGACTCGTGGACTTCAATTCCCAGAGCTATGCTGGCTCAGGAATTCTGGGAGTTGAAGTCTACGAGTCATAAAAAGAGCCAAGGTTGCCTACCCCTGGCTTAGGGGCATTCAGTTAAAAGAATCAGAACAAATGAATATGGCAGTTGAAGATCTGGAAAAAAGAGCCGTGCTTGGATAGAAGAACCACCAACCCCATGCAGAAGAGTCAGCAGACACTGGAATTCTTAGGTTTCCAGAGCTACAATGTTTTTGAGTTGAGGAAGTTTGGAGTTTAGATGGGGAAGAAAACACTAAACTCATGAGTACAAGTGTTGTGGTTAAAAAAAAAAATATTCAGAAAGGCAGATGGGAATGTAATGGACCACCCTGAAGAAGGGCATGGCTGCTTGATTGGAGCATAAACCAGGAGTGGATTACATGGCCAGACACAGTAGCTATTGAAACCTGAACAAACAGAGCTAGACGAATGTTCTTTTTTCCTAATCTCCTATAACTTCCACCATTTCTCACACTTCTCGTGTTTCCAGCTTAGCAGAAATCGTTGGAATTGGAGCGAAGCAATATGGATTGTGTCCAAGCTCTTCTTTTTCATGGATGTATGTTTATTCCAGCTTCCCAAGTTTTGAAGGCTCTCCACATTGGGAGCTGCTTATGAGAGGTGAAGTGACTGGCTTATAATCTGACCCATGAAAAATCTGCCCGTCTATTTCAGTGGTGTCCTGTTTATTTGGGGACAGGGGGCAATTGTCTCTTTTGAGAAAGTGCATTTGGCCACTCTCTATTTGATGACTTCCACTTCGCTCCTGAAGGCTCTCCTTACATCTTTTCCCAATGAGATAGAAAGCTTCCAGGAGGCTAAGTAGGACGCAAACACAGGCAGTGATGATCATGAACAGAGTGAAGATGTTCTTCTCTGTTGGCCTGGCTATGTAGCAGTCAACTAGGTTAGGGCAAGGTGAGAGAGAACATTTGACTAGAGTAGGAAGCTTGTAGTTTGGGTACACGTGGTAAAAGATAAACAGAAACACAATGTCCACCGCACCTTTGAAGAGAAGACTGAAGAGATAGGTCCACCATAACCCTCCACGCTTCTTGCCGGGGGGATAACGTGGTCTGAAGTTATTCCCACTTTTCTGTAAACGTTTCTTCAGTTTGGCTTGCCGGTAGGCTACATGCATCACAACCAACAGGGAAGGACAGGTGACAAGGATCAGTTGCAGGGCCCAGAGTCGGATGTGAGAGATTGGAAAGTAAAGGTCATAGCAGACATTGGGACAACCTGGCTGCTCAGTGTTGCAGTCAAAGTCCTTACTGTCATCTCCCCAGACTTTCTCTGCTGCCACTAAGTAGACTAGAAGCCGAAAGATGAAGACAACCGAGAGCCAAATACGCCCAAACGCCGTGGAGTATTTGTTCACTCCCCCCAAGAGGTCTTCCAAACCAGACCAATTCATCTTGGTTAATTTCTTTTAGCAGAGTCTGGAAAGAGAAAGACAGTGCGATTAGAAATTTTTAATCTCATTGATATTATCTAAGTTGGTTTCCTTGAATGACATGGTTGTTGAGTTTCAACTCTCATACTATATAGCCATGGGAGTGGGGTTTGGGTTGAGTTTCTCTTCTTCATTCCCTTTTGCCCACCAACCTTTTTATTTGATACTTGGTGTCTTGCTCACTCTAAGTCTACCAAATCTGATCATCCACCTTGAAGACAAATGAGATGAAAAGAAAAGAAACGATACTGATAGAACTTTATTCCATTTAAAATTTGAATAGCTTACCTTTCTCCAGTTGAGTACCAATCTATTACGGCTAGAAACCTAGAGGTCCATTTGGCCATGCTGGGAAAACCCTGGAAACTGCAAAACTAAACACGTCAACCAAGTGCTAGCTTGGAGAAGATTGGTATTCAGGCCTCAAGAACTTGTCTTTTCAATGTTGCAGTTCCTTCAGAGAATGTTTGGGGTATCAACCCATCTTAACATATCTATTTACGGAGATCACTTTAACCTAATATAACCCTCTCCTACTTTGGATGATATTGATATCACAACGCAAATCCTGCAGAAATATTTGGCGTTAACACATGGACTCATTCAATACAACTGGTGCAATGATGCATGGGAATAACCTTGAGGGTCAGGGCAACGAGACGGAGCCAGTGGATCAACGAAGGGTGGATAAAAGGCAGCGTAGCCTGCAGCAGGACTATGGATGGGGCAAGAGGCTCAGGAGATACCCTCACTAGTTTCTTGGGCTGTAAAGGTGACTATGTGGAGGGGGAAAAAAAAAAGAGAAATGTACTTTCAGATTTGCAAGATTCTGATAATGAACCTTACCATAAATTAGAATTAGCAGCTCTGGTTGTGTTTCCTGTCTGATCTGTTTTGTAAGGCTGACAGCTACTGACTGGGATAAGTTTGGAATTGGGAATGTTTAGAAAACCTCATCCTGTTTATGGCCTGGGTTCAGTTTCCCTTTGGAACTGAATCCAATTGCAATAATATTCACTACTTTTGTTAACTAGCTCTATTTCCCATTCCTCTTATTTTCAAGTCAAGCAAGCATGCAGACAAGCGGGCAGGCAAGAAAACAAGAGGGTAGTTGGGCAGATGGGTGGGTGAGCAGGCAGGCAAGCAGGCAGACAAGCAAAATTTTAAAGCATCCTGAATCCAAACCTTGTCGAGGGAGGGCAGAATTCTTATTTTTTTTAAAAAAAAAAATCTAAAGTTTTGGAATCTATACATGTCCAGGCATTGAGAAGGAGGATTTGGCTATCTAATTAGTTTCCTCTGGCTAGTATTTTGAATTTCTGGAACGGAAGGCTTTCTTGCACAATTTGGGGGAAAGGACTGTTGCTGACTGAAAACATCAAAGAACTATCCAGCTGGGATCACCAATAAAAGTCTACAGTTAGTGAAGCAAAATAAAGCAGAGAAAGAGCTTCATCAGAAACTTGCCAAGTGACTTTGAAATGTAGTAGGGTGGGGGGAACAAGGGAAGGAATCTTAATTAGGGCTTGAGAGAGTATTATGCTCCTTTTACCTCTTAAAAACTTTTTCTAGTAAGGCAAATTGGCTGAGAAGACCGAACAAAATTAATATTTGCAACAAAATGGCCCAAGGGTTCAGGAACTAGGCAAAGGTGTTTCACCTACAATCCACCTAACCAGTCAAGGTTTCCTAATTTATCCTAGACAACATAGTCCTAAAGCTGCTATTGTCGTGTTGGAAGAGGCGGAATTTCTGTCTTAGAATTTAGCTTCTCAAACTTGCATTCTTGGAGTTAGACCAAAAAAGGAGTCTTCTTTTTTTTTTTTAAGGGCGCACCTAATAAGACTATGACGCTAGGGCAAACAGTATGTTATGTTTTCCATTTAAGTGTAATATGAGGGGTTGAATATTCTAAGACAAGAGTCTCTACCCCTGGGTCATGGCCTACAACCTGTCTGTGGCCGGTTGGGAACCAGGCCACCGAAGCAGTGGGCGAGCGTGCAAAGCTTCATTTGCTCATGTCTGAGATTCAAGTTACACGCATGAAACCATTCCCCCCACCCCGCTGAAATGATCAAAGCCATCATCACCACCACCTGTCTACAAAACCATAAAGGTTGGGAACCCCTGTTCTAAGACTTAGGAAATGTCCTAACAGTGTTGTTGTTAGTTGTGAAGTCATGTCCGACCCATCCCGACCCCATGGACAACATTCCTCCAGGCCTTTCTGTCTTCTACCATCTTCTGGAGTCCCTTTAAGCTCACGCCTCCTACTTCAGTGACTCCATCCAGCCACCTCATTCTTTGTCATCCCCTTCTTCTCTTGCCCTCCATCTTTCCTAGCATCAGGCTCGTCTCCAGTGAGTCCTTCCTTCTCATTAGGTGGCCAAAGGACTTGAGTTTCAACTTCAGAGCAGTCGGGGTGGATCTCCTCTAGGACTGACCGGTTGGATCGCCCCATGCTCAGTCCTAAGAGTAAGAACAGTTAAATAGTGGGACCAATGATTAACAGAGTGGTGTAGACTTTTCATTAGATGTGTTCAGACAGCTACTTGCTGAGATATTTTAATCATGACTCCGATACTATGTTGAGGTCCATGCTCGGACTGGCCCTTTCTAACTTTATGGTTCTATATGCCATCTGTAATTCCATTAGTCAGTGTGCTATGATATTTCTAAAGATGAAAACGACTTAGAAGCTCAGATTTCCCATCAGGAAATCCCATCCTGGAAGGAACACTCTAGTTAGGTCTGTTTGGGGGGATTTAATTAAATGTGGGAAGCCAGGGAGGCCTCAGACCTGCAAAAGACTGAAGACAGAACATTCACACCGGTTATCACATCCCCCAAAAGTAGCTTTTGACTATTGCATCGCTAACTTACATTCTATCTGTGTGATTTTCACTGGGTTTTTCTTCTGCGCTGAGAGACATTTCAGAATTTAATTCTCTTTCATCAGTTGAATGGAAACTGATAGAGAACAATCCCCCAGGGGCTTTTGGAACATTATCATATATCACTTGCTTATATAAAGACTAACTTTCAAAAAAGAAAGAAAAGGGAATCTAAACCACAGCAGCTAATAAAACAATGTGGTGGAAAGGAAGGATGACTCACAAACGTTGGATCGTTCAGATCAGCAAACTCGTCAACTTCTGCCGCTTCAACCTTTCCACTGGGAGTGAATCAAAAGAAATGAGCTGTCTTTTGAATAAATAAATCCATGCAGGATCCAATCTGGGTCGGTCACCGGGACTGACTTTCTCTCTCTTCAAGCTAGAGAGAAGTTCCCTGAGGATGGGCTCCAGAACGAGTCCGAAAGCTCAGAAGAGTAAACTTCTGACCCTGGGAATTGTCCCAGATTGGATCCTACAACATTATCCTGGGACACATATATTTGCCTTCATTCATTCCTCTCCACATTTATTTATTTATTTATTTATGAGACTTATATACCGCTTTAAGTGCAAGCACTCTCTAAACGGTGTACACCAGTAAGCAATGTATATATATATTTACATTGCCCCCAACAATCTGGGTCCTCATTTTACCTACCCCGGAAGGATGGAAGGCTGAGTCAACCTTGAGCCGGTGAGATTTGAACCGCTGACCTGCTGAACACAGTCAGCTAAAGTGGCCTGCAGTACTGAACTCTAACTGCTGCGCCACCTCGGCTCTGTATATGTACAGGTACCTCCCTCCTCTTCCTTATGCCAAGAGGCAAAACAGTAAGAATAAGAAATTATTTTTTTGCAAAAGAGAGCTTTCATTTCCATATTCAGAAGTCCAAAAGCAACAGAAAGTGGTGCAAGAAGCAGCTGAGACTGCAGTTCGTCGGTGGATAAATGAATGTTACAGGACCTGGACAGCATTGGAGGACAATTGAAAGCTCTCTTATTTTGAAAACACGCTGATTAAAGTTTGTTAAAACAGGAGAGAAAACAGGAAGGAGTGGGGTCCTTGGTGCTCACTGAGCTTGATTGCTTTCTTGCAGACCTTCATTACCCAACTAGGTAATATCATCAGTGCTAGAAGGGATTGGGGTTTAACCCTCTGTTTATTTACTATGGCTTGCCCTGTCAGTGTTGGTGGGCATGTTGTTGTTAGTTCCTTGATTAGGCTGTTGTTGACTGATTGTTTGTATGATTGGTTCCTTAATTGGGAAATTGTTTACTGCTTGGTTGTTGATCCAGTGTTAATCTTGGTGTGTTAATCTCTGCTTATCTGGGTGTTGATTGCTGGCTAGGAGGTGCTTTGGTCTTTCTGTTTCCTGTTTTATGGTCTTTTTGCTTGTGTCATTTGAGACAATCTGGGACAAATAGAAGGAACGTTTGGCCTGGAACGTTTGGCCTAATGGTCCTCTCTGCTAAGCACCTAAGAAGGACTCAACTTTCTTATTTAAAAAACAAATACATATAACCAAGCATTTGGTTTATCATGTAAGACAGAGGTCTCCAACCTCTTGGGCACCAGGGACCGGTTCCATGGAGAAAAGTTCTTCCATGGCCAGAGACATTTGGGCCGGATAACTGTTCTGAATACCAATCATTGTGTGTTAGAGATTATGTAGAAATCATCAACCAAAGGATTTGGAAAACATTGTATTTCTTTCCCACTCTAGGCAACCAAACAGGGATGGTTGAGTGGGTGGCATTCCATCATGCCTCGTAGTTTGGATGCATCCCACAGATGCAGGCAGCACACAAAACCACACACTCTCTGGCCATGGAAGAACTTTTCAAATGTCTGGATCAGTTAGTCCAGCAGCAACATTTTTATATAAGAAGATTGTTCTCTTTGAGAAGAACAGCCACATGGCTTGATCGTGGCACAAATGGCCAAATAATGCAGCACATTTGATTATACCCATTTTGAAATATCCCTCACTTCTTAAATGAAATTCATATGACAGTGGTCCATTTGGGAAACTTGCAAATAGAATAATACCAACATAGAATTATTGTGTAGGGGAAATAAAATACATGT